AATCAAATCACTTAGGAAAAGATATGGTGATCCTTAAATGGTGGATTTCTATTATTAGTAGGCACTGGCTCCATGCTACATGGCACATGCTACTTGGCGAATGTGGCCAAGAATCTGAAGCACAAGACTACTTTGGTCTCATCACATCAAAATGTTGAAACCATTACCCATTGTTTTACAGAAACTCACTGAGTGAATTGAAAAACCAATAGGAGCATTTCTGCAACTTTTAATCAAAATGCTTGTATTATCATCAATAAAAAGTGAATATTACTCATTAAGATAAAGAAATCATAGACCTATGTCTGAAGACTACCTTTAAAATCCCCCCCTTTAAGAGGAGGATTCACAATGCTGTTTTATTTTTAAGAAGGCTTTGCTTCCTGGGTTTTCCTTTTTACATGTTTTTTGTAGTATAGCGTGATTGATAATAGTGTTAATAGTGATAATAGTGTGTGAAGTATAGTGATTGATCATGTGTTAGTTTCAAGTGTACAGCAAAGTGAATCAGTTACACATATATCCAGGACTTCCCTGGGGGCTCAGATGGTAAAGAATCTGTCTGCAATGCAGGAGACTGAGGTTCAATCTCTGGGTCAGGAAGATCCCCTGCAAAAGGGAATGGCAACCCACTCCAGCATTCTTGCCTGGAAAATCCCATGGACAGAGGAGCCTGGTTGGCTACAGTTCATGGGGTCACAAAGAGTCAGACACAACTGAGTGCTAACACTTCACTTCATAGGTATATCCACTCTTTCTTGGATTCCTTTCCCATATAGGCCATTACAGAGTACTGAATAGAGTTCCTTGTGCTATAGATGGGTCCTTGTTGATTACCTATTTTATTTAGAGTAGCATTATAGGTCAATCCCAATCTCCCCATTTATCCTGTCCACCCTCCATACCCCCCTGGTAACTGTTTTTCTATATCTGTGACTCTATTTCCATTTTATAAATAAATTCATTTGTATCATTTTTTTTAATTCCACATATAAGTAATGTCATTTGATATTTGTCTTTCTCTGTCTGACTTACTTCATTCACTCAGTATGACAGTCTCTTAGGTGTTGCTGCAAATGGCATTTTGTTCTTTTTTATTGTTTAATAAAATTCCATTGTATATTGTACCACATCACCTTTATCTACTCCTCTGTCAATGGACATTTAGGTTGATTCCATGTCCTGGCTACTGTAAACAGCGCTGCCGTGAACACTGGAGTGCATGTATCTTTTCAAATTACGTTTCCTTTCAGAGAGACTGAAATAACTTTAAGCAGCCATAAGACACCAACTGGCAAATTGCCACTTGTGGTTGCTTTAACTAGTGTGTGCACTGGGGGCAGCTGGAAGCATTTTCTACCTGAGGAGGATCCAGGGGATCTATCAACATCAGGGATGCCTGACAAGGGAAAGCCACAAAAACCAGATGAAAAGGGCACTTGGGTTCAAGAATTGACAAAATTGGCTCATCACAGGTTGCCTACAGGCCACACTAAGAGGAAAAACTCCTTCTCCCAGCTCTCTGCCCTACCTGGGTGTATGACCCTCAGCAGGTAGAACAATATTTGAATTAAAACTATTATCTCTAAGGCCTCAGAGACGGCCTGCACATAGTAGGTGCAGAAAGAAAGGGGAGTCTCCCAATATCTGGTAGGAGGATGTGAATGCCATTGACAGAACAAAGTTGATGTCATCACTCTCCCTATGTAAGAGAAGTTACATGCCTTCTTTTTCCTCTAACTTTCATAAAGTTCAAGAAGGAGAAAACTTTCCTCCAGAGTTAAATTGATAGCAGTTGGAAAAAATAAATGTAGCAAGAGGCATCAGACATATACAGTTATTTTCACAACCTGAACTAAACAAATGTCTTAGTGGGCAAAGAAAATGTCAAATGTTTGTCAAAAAAAAATCATCCTATTCAGAAATGTGCCATGAAAGGCTTGAGATGAAACGAAAAACTGTTAATGATTAGTTGCTGATGAAATGGCTCTTGTTACATTTACTTCACTCATGAATGATAAACCATTTTTGGTGGAAGTAGTCTATTCTTAGAATCCAAATAGTGCTTCATGACTGTGTTTAATTAACTCACACTTCACCTCACAAACAACATAATGGGATTTTAAATAATTCCCTTATGCCTTTTTTCCACTATAGATAAATCTTAATCTAAATTTGCCCTAAGATTGCATTACTGGATAAATTTTCAGTATGATATTTTCTTAATCACAGGCTTTTCAAACCTTCACATTTTAGTTAAATACACATATGTTTTGTTTCATTAAATAAAAATACAGTGATTATTTCACAACAGACTTCATTTCAGGTAATTATTTTAATCTGATGAAAGGCAATGTTTATAGTTGTCATTCTTTGTGCACAGGTAATTCAATGATGATAAATGTCAGGGAATCTCATCTCCTTGGAAACGACGCATATGATTATTCATTTGTTCATTCAACAGATTTTACTGGGTGACTACTGTGTGCAAGGTATGATGCTATGTGTGCAGAGACAACAAATGGTAGAGTTTGGATTAAATATTTGAAACTATCTGAAGTGGTATTTATCTGCACATGTGAAGCATAGCCTCCAACTACAAACTGCCCACATTCTGTTTATTTCCTAGCCTTTGAAAACCATGTGCCTTTTTTCTCTTTAAAAAAAAAAAAGTCAATTTAGCCCTTTGGGCGCCTAATTTAAAATCTCCTTTGGTGGTCCTGTGACTCTTGAAGCTTGAGACAAGGAAGGGGTAAATAACTCAACATCCCTTTAAGGTTACCCATGCCCCCTCCCTGCCCAAATGGGTCTCCTTCCTAAATCCACCAGGAAGCAGTGGCTCTGTTCAGAATCTGGCTGGCTTCATGGGTGGTGAAAACTAGAGCGTGGGATGCCAGATCCACTGGGACTAAGAGCTGAAGCCAACCAACATCAGTGAAACAAAAAGATTTGCCTGTCCGGTGACCCAAAGCCAAGAAGTCTACAGCTAGGAATGATCCTGCACATTATTTGCTTCTGTATCCTTTTCTCAGATGATGAAATGAGACTCAGGGAAGGAGAGAATAATCTGTACCCAGATATCAGTGTGAGCAGTAGCTTAAAATCTAAACATAGCTCTTGTATCAAAGACCGAATCAGACTCACAGACCCCCATGTCTAAATCACTCTTATCCTGCATTAGGTCCAAACAGACTGGGAGAGGGGGGTGAGTGTTGGTTTTAATTATTGGTACCATACCAGCTGTCCTGCCCACGAGGCATAACAAATACCATGATATATCTAGTAATTGGAGTCCATTAAGAACTAGGCTGTGTACAAATCTGACGATGGAAATGACTTAAACAAGCATTCCGTCTATCACCACCTTCCCTATAGCTTTGAGAGTGTGCAATCCTCAGCATAAAATCCGGTGAGGTCTTGGTTCTGCTACTCTTGGCGAGGCTCCAGGAAGAGCCCCCGACTCTCCAGGGAGAAACAAAATCAGCGCATCTTACTGCAGCCCTCGGAGCACCTGGCAACAACCGTGAGAGGCGCTCGCGCGAGACTTCTCACTTGCCTTTGTGCGGGGACTGCCTCTGGCGACCCTGTCAGTCTGGCCTCTTCCTTGGACTCTCTAATCGCCTCCGTCCCTCCGGGGCTCCGGAGGTTACAGCCAGAGGCGGTGGGAAGCTCGCACAGCCCAGAAGCATCTACGCCTGGCCCCGCCCAGCTGAGCGCAGGTCCACCTCGCGGGCCTTCCCCGCCCGACAGTAAAGCCTGCGTGCTGGCAATTGCGTGCTCCTCCCCGCCAGTTTCACCCAGGATTTGGCTCTGTTCAGCCGCAGCAGCCCAGCTCCCTGCCAAACTCCTAGACCTAAGCTCAGGGGCCTTCCCCAGGCCTTCCCGCTGTCTCCTCCTCCTCCTCCTCCAGAGGCTACACCCTTCCCGGAAAAGGCACTCCTACGTAGCCAGGCACCGCAGCAGGGTCGGCGGGTGCCCGGGTTGCAGCCGGAGAGTCTAGGTGATGTTCCCGCCCCCGCCGCGCCTGACCCAGAAGGAACAGCTAACATCCGCGCAGGGAAGCTTTCCCTTTCGCGGTGTAACCGGCCCTCCCTATAGCTGCTTGCCAGGTTGGTGCGTAAGTGCGTGGGAAGGCGATAACCCGGCATTGAACCCCAGACACTTGAAAATAATTCACCGTGCCAATAATTCAACTGGATGGGAAGGTCAAAGGCGAATAGGGCAGCCCGCGGCCTCGCACACTGGAGGGGGGTGATGCAATGGGTTAGGAGGGAATAGCGTGGGCCGGAGGGCACCGAGTGATCACGAGGGCTGGGGGAGCTCAGATCTGCAGGTCGGCACCGAGGCGGCGCGGGCGGCCGGCAGCTATGAGAGGAGGCCCGGGGACCCCCGCCGGGTGCTGCCCGCGCCGCCAGCGCATTCCTGGCAGTAGGCGTCACGAGCGCCGCGGATGCCTGCGCGCCCCCTACTCTCTCCGCAAGCGCGGAATCCGCACGTAACTGCGTGGCTTCGGGGGTTTTCTCCCACCTCCCACCACCCCCTCGGTGCTCCCAGCCTACCAGCCAAGCAGCAAGTTAGATCCTGGAGGGGCGCTCGCATCCTAGAGCCAGTTGATACCGACAAGGCGCACACTCCCCCCTAACATTTGGCTACCCTGGCCACCCCGAGAGGACTCGGGCACAGCTCCGCGGGCCAACCGCTCCCCGGACACCCGGCTACAAGCATTTTACACCCCGGGGTCACCCTTCGGGCACGGAGCTTCCTTCTCTTCCCACAGCTATTGCCAGACCCAATATCGTCCCCCACCCCCATTCAGAAGGGGCAAAATTTTCATCCACCAGGGAATCCCTCGTAAGGAGCAAAAGTTAACGGAGGACCGCAGAACGGGCGCTAGCGGGTGTCGAGAGCGTGCCAGAAACGCGGGGCCCCGAGACCCTTTGCCCACCCCCTGAACGCCTGGAAACCCGCCCGAGCGCCACGCGGTCCGATGACTCTCTTACCCGAAGTGTCCCAGAGGCTCAACTCTATTCTTTGTGTGTCGATTTCAAAACTGGCCGTGTAATTCTCAAACACTGTAGGGACGTAATTCTGGATAAAATGGACAGAAGAAGTAAAAAGGGCAAAGAGGTTATCTTAAAATGCACAACCGCAGAATACCCTCTGAAAATGGTCTCTTTACTCTCCCATTAAAAAACGAAGAGCCCCCAAATCCACACGCACCACATCTCACACTAAACACGCAGATCCTTTCCGAAAGCGCTAACTTGCCTCTCGCCCCACCCGGATCCTCCAAGACTGGAGGATTCGAATCTCCCAACCCCAGATTCTGCACACATGACCGAACAAGTTTCAGAAGCTAACAGGAGAATGTGCAAGCGCATCCCAACCCCTCCACGCTTCCACCCCACTTTTCCTTTCCCGGCAACTAACCCGGGCGAAAGTAATAAGCGGTGAGAAAGACGGCTGAAAAGAAAAAAGAGAGAGAAACGGGTGAAGGGTGAAAGCCAGGGGAAACCCACCTCGAGATGGGGATCCCTTCCCCGCCCCGCGCCCGCAGCCCCAGCCGGCCACACTCACTTCGGGGAAGCAGTCTTTGGCGAAGACGTGGAGTAGCGCCGTTTTCCCACACTGACTGTCTCCCACCACTACTATCTTGCATTTCACGTTCTGATTAGGATCCATGATAGATTTACTGGATAATTTCTGGCTGGCTCTTCTCTCCTTCATTGATCTTGTCTTATTTTCTCTTGAAACAGGAATTTTCACTTAAGAGGAAAAAATATATATATATATTTCTTTCTCTATAAAAAGCAGATATAAAAATAAATCGCAAGGGTGGTGGGAACCCCTGAGGCGCCGCGCGGATGAGGAGAGAGAGCTACAGGCGCAGGCTCGTTACTCTCCTCCAACAAGTTTTACGCCTGACTCCACACGGCGCTTCCCAAGTCCAATTCCGATCCGACTGCTTTGTTTCACGCTCTCTGCGCGGCTTTATACGCCCGGCCTTCCAATCCTCTTTCTCAATGAGAGAAGGAAACCGATCCGCCTCCTCCCCTTTTATGGGGCCTGAGAGACAGCGCCGTCTAGTTACTTGCGGAAAATGTAGACAGTGCGCCCTCTAGGGTGACCATGCGGGATCGATTTCCAGCCCAAGGCTCGGCGACGTCTTGAGGACCACAACGACGCTGTGCTGAAGGTTGGGACTGCCCAAGTCACGGAGGAAGTGGGGAACGGAATTGTCTGTATATATTGATTTTTATTGGAATTTCTGGATAAACGTTTTCATGGGGGCTGCTCTACCGAAGCCTTGTGAGCGTTAATGAAAGCAAAAACATTTCTACCCAAAACATCGTTGTAAAACACTGAAAGCAAATCTTGGGTGGGGAAGGGTTAAGTGCTTGTATTTTCTTAGGAAATGTTTTGCATCAGGTATTTAGGCCATGGAACAATAGCTCAGCCAGGTTGTTTCAGATGCCGGAGCTGGCTTGCTTGGGTCACAGCAGCAGACTGGCGTTGGAAACCTCTGTTTCAGTGACTCAGGCGGAGAGGGAAAGGTTTGGAAGAGAGGGGAGGGGAAGTTTGTGAGTAGAAGGAAAAAAAGTGGAAGATGATCAGAACTGAGTAACAAAAACCACTGGAAAACTCAATCCTACTGCACTAGGGATCTAAGCATGCAAGGTCAGCCATCGCCCCTGTTTCAGTGAGAAGAGGGGATAGGAGGGATTCTGATCCTGCCCTTTAATTCCTTTATCAGTAGTCTCCCCTTCCCTAAACTCAAAGCACCCTTGACTGACCCGGAAAATGCAGATATGCTTAGCTGAAAAATGCAGGTACACCCTACCACTCCCTTTCCACTGCCTCAACATCCACCCCCCTACCCCCTCATCTGAAAGTCTCAGAGAGGACTAAAAATAGCCATATATTTGTTCTCTCTTCCCTCTAAAAGTCCTTCTTTACTCATCTTCATTTCCTGTGCTCCAAGTGATCATAAGGTTTCACCCATTTTTTACAATTTTTTAATTGAGGTATAGCTGATTTCAAATATCATGTAAATTTCAGGTATACAACATAAAGATTCACAATGTTTGAAGATTATGCACCATTTATAGTTATTATAAAATATTGGCTATATTCCCTGTGCTGTACAATGTATTCTCGTAGCTTATTCAGTTTATACATTGTCGTTTGTATCACTTAATCCCCTAACCCTATCTTGCTCCTCCCCCATCCCCCTCCCCACTGGTAACCACTAGTTTGTTCTCTATATCTTTGAGTCTGTTTCTTTTGTTATATTCACCAGTTTATTTTTTAGATTTTACATATAAATGATATCATACAACATTTGTCTTTCTGACTTACTTCACTTAGTACAATATCCTCCAAGTCCATCTGTGTTGTTACAACTGACAAAATTTGCAGAGGTTTTAGCTATTAAATTTTACTAAGGACATTGGCCGAAAAAAAAGTTTAGGTTTCCTGATGGACATTTCTAGATTTGTAAATGAGAAGATGAGGTGAAAAACCAGAAAGTTCAGTGTGAGGAGTGAAAAAGCACGATGAAAGATGGTTAAAAGCACAGATATAAGTATCAACCCTAGGACCATGAAGCCTCAGGGGTCTAAGGATTGTCTCTTCTTCCTTTCAGAGCAAAGAAAACTGGAGCTCCCCCAAGGAAGACTAGCTCAGACTCGGTGTGTAAGGCTGTGTTCATACACACCCAGAGAACTGACCTACAGAAAAAGGGATTGCTGGCCCTGCTCAGGTTCCTAAAGCAGCACTAGCCAAAGTCTGCTCTGCAGAAAAGGTCCTCACAAAAAGGGTCTTATGTCCCAGTGAGTGGTGGAGACACCCCTTGAAGATATACCATGCACTTTGGTATATTACAACAGGAAGAGGCTCTGTAGAAAGGTAGCCTGCCTAACAGAGTTTAACCCAGCATTCCCCAAATTATCAAAATATTTACTTGCTTGGGAAGCAATGAACATAGTGGTTGGGAGCAGGAAAACATAAAGAAGTTTATCTGTGTGAAGTTGGATGAGTTACTTAACCTCTCAAAGCCTTAGTTTCATTATCTGTAAAATCCTAATAGTAATGATGAGGAAATGCGAGTGAAGTTTGCAGGGTAGTTTCTGACACAATAAAGAATCCTCGACCTTACTTTATATGTCACACATAACTCTTATTTGCACTTCTTAGAATTGTTGAACATATCTTGGGAAATTCTGACCTTGTTAATGGACTCACTAATTGGCACTAAGAGAATAGATTTACCCCCCACCTTTTTTTCTCAGAGTTTTAACTTAGGAAGTTGCTTCTTTCTGGAGATATGATTTGACCTTCCACATTTCTGAACTGATGAAGTTTATGTAGTTAAACTTCTCTAACTAACAATAAGTTATGAATTATTAGTACTTGGCTGACAGTAAGATGACCATGTAATTCATCATATATGCTGGGAGAATTTGAGAGCAAAAGGAGGTACTATTGATGGTCGGAACAACAGCTGTAAATAGGATCTGGCCTAGGCAAAATGAAAGACCTAATCACTTTAATGAATAATCTGGAATCACAGACCAATTTTGGAAATCAGGTGACCTGAATTTCTAGGAATCTGCCAGCTACTGAGTGAAATTTAGCAGCTGTGTAATTGAGTAGAAACCCAACTGCCGGAAGTCACCAGGCTTCAAATTTCTTTAGGGTAAGAATTCTTTCCTTGCCTTAACTTTGAGTCTCCACTGTTCAGTGTGTAGTAGATACTCAATATTTTTTTAAAAATGCACTTAGCATTTAGTTCAACAGATATTTATTAAGCACCTGCTGTATGCCAGATGAGCTTCCCTGGTGGCTCAGTGGAATCTACCTGCCAATGCAGGAGACACGGGTTCAATCCCTGGGTCAGGAAGATCCTCTGGAGAAGGAAATAGCAACCCATTTCAGTATTCTTGCCTGGGAAATCCCATGGGTAGAGGAGCCTGGCGGGCTGCAGTCCATGGGGTCACAAAAAGAGTTGAACATGACTTAGCATGTAAACAACAGTAACAATATGCCAGATACTGTTCTGGGGACTGTAGATATGAAAGTAAAGAAGCCAGCCTGCCGGCTGCTCTTACACATACCTATGCCAGACAAAAGATAAACAATAAAGAAGTGAGCAAGTACACAAATAAGGATGAGTGCGCTAAGCTCTATGAAGACAAAACAGGATGGTGTGATGAAGCATAGGAAGGTGGGGATCAAACCCAGAGGCCTGGCAACACCTTTCTAAGGATCCTAAGCCGTCAATGGTAAGAACGAATCAGCCATGAGAAGGTCTGTTTGAAGACAAAGGGACAGACAGTGAAAAAGTTACACGCAGGGAAAGAACTTGGCAGGTAGAAGGAACAGAAGGAAGGCTGGAGTCAGTGGGCCCATTGAAGGAGAAAGAATATAGACAGGATCATAGAATTTGGATTTCATCCTAAGGGAAACGGATAGTCAGACACAGGAGAGTGTGAAGCAGGGTAATGACTTGATTATTTGAATGAATGAATGAATGGCTCCAGTTCTAAATTTTCACCTCTCCCTCCACTAATTATGAAACTTTGATGAAACTGCTTATCTTCAATGAGATTTTCAGATCTAAATGAAACCTAAAGTCCTTCGTGTGGTAAGTCACTTCATGTCCAACTCGGCGACCCCATGGACTGCAGCCTGCCAGGCTCCTCTGTCCCTGGGATTTCCCAGGCAAGAATACTGGAGTGGGTTGCCATGGCCTCCTCCAGGGGATCTTCCTGACCCAGGGGATTGAACCTGCATCTCATTATGTTTCTTGCATTGACAGGCAAGTTTTTTACCACTAGCGCCACCTAAAGTCCTAAAAAAGACTACAATTTTAGACTGCAGTGAAAGGTTTTCCCTAAGGAAAGCACTCATTTGGGAGACATGTAGCCCCATCTAGGGAATCATGCATTACCTAATGTCTTGTCTTTTGTTATTCTTCTTCTTTCCTATTACTCTCTCCTTTCTCTAATTAACCCCTAAGTTCAAGAGGAGAGAAAAAATAGCAAACGTTTCAATATGGATTGGTTAATATACAATACATCATGTATATTCAGCATTGTTGTCCTAAGAAGTTTGAACTTAAGAATTCTTTCCTCTCTGGTGAACTCTTTACATATTACACAGAAGCAGCCCCTCTCATACTACATCCAATCTAACACCAAAAGGGTTGATTCCAGGCCTGGAGAGAGGGCTAACTGAGAGAGAATAGCCATCTAGGGATGGTATAGACCTGATAAACAACAATAGCTCTGTGTTCATTCTATGAGCACTCGACTGCAAGTCAGGACACTGTCTTTTAGCCCCGGCTAAACGAATGCACTGTCTGACCTTGAGCAAACAGTGAATTCTTTTCCTTAGTTTCATCCCTACAAGGCGATGATATTTGCCTCCTTTAAGTCCCACAAGAAGGCTGCTCAGAAAATCACGTGCTCTCTACTTTTGAACATTCTTCTTCAGAAACACATCAGGCAACCCCTCTGCCTCCCTATTCAGGTTCAGTGTATTTATGGAGATCTGAGCTCACAGTGGAATATTGTAAAGGCATAATCCTAATTGTTTATTCATGGTTGCCTGCTTTTCCTAAGACGCCAGAAGAAGTGTTTGAAGGAGCAAGTGTGTCCTGAGGAGGAAGCCCCAGTCTCTTACAGGCATCGTCAACAGAGTTGAGAGATGACGTAAGAACAAGA